TATCTATTTATATTTTATATTTAACTATTTTTTCTGTTTAAAAATTCAATCCAGAGGGGCTTGTGCCCTCTCAGGTTTGGCCTTGTCCAGTGCCTTCTGCAGGCTTTGCTTCAGTGCCTTCTGCAGGCTTTGCTTCAGTGCCTTCTGCATGCATGTGCTCATCTGGGCTGAAATCTGGCGTTTCCACATCTTCCCCTGGTGGTGGAGGTGGCTCTGCCTCAGCAATCAAAGTACCTTCTGGAGGCATTGAGCTGCCTTCTTCAGGCAAGGTTTGGGGATCAGCTTCTTTTTTCACATTCTTCTCACCACTGCCTTCTCCAGGCTCTTCTAGAGGCTTATTGCCTTGGCCTTGGTCATCGTCCTCTTTCTTCAGCTTCTTCTTGTTGCTCCACACCCTTTGGCCTTTTCCAGGCTTCTTCTCAGCATCCATTGTCTCCTCCTCAGCATCCATTGCACAGCCTTCTGCAGGCTCTCCCCTCCTGACCCAAGGCCTTGGCCCATGAGCCTTTGAAGGCTCTGAAGGAGGTATTCCAGGCCTCCTAGGAGACCCAGGCCTGGCTTTAGGGCTTCTAGGTTTGGGTCTACTTTTGGACCTTCGCTTTTTCACATAGCCATCTCCTGGCTGCCAACACCTCCTGGCCTCCTCTTGCATGGCCTTGGCCTTGTTGATGAGCTCCCTCATCTGCCTTTTTTGTTCAGCAAGGAGCTTCAAAGGTGGCTGGGGCTGAAGCCACTGAGGGACAGGCAGGCCTTCTCTTTCAAGGGCCCTTTTTTTGCAACCTTCTCAGGTCACTTTGCCTGCCCCTGGTGTTGTACCTGTCCCAGCCATCTACTGGCTCATCATCTCTTTGCCATTCAGCCCAGTCTTCCCAAGCTTGGGGGTTGAAGGGCACCTCTTCCCAGCCTTCTTCAGGCTTTTTGTTCTTTCCCCACCAAGTCATCCATGGGCCTTCCCCAGGCTTGTTTTGCTCCCACCAATCCCAGTCACCATCAGTGCTTGAGCCTTCTGCAGGCTGAGACCACTCAGTCCACCCCACAGTTTGTGGTGGCTGTGGGGCCCAGCTTGGGCCAGTGTCTTCTGAATCACTCCACACCCAAATGGATGTGGCCAAGCCTTCTTCAGGCTCTTGGCTGTGGTCCACCATCCCTGGTGGCCACCACCTATTTCCACTCCACTCAGGAACCCCTGGTGGGACATAATCATCTTCTCCAAAGATGTATTGCCCCATGGCAGGGTCTTTCTCCATAGCCTTCTGCAGGCTTTTGACTTCATTGGTGGTCAGCTCCTCCCACCCCTGGCCATTCAGGTAGAAGTAGAAGAACCTGCCACCCCAGAACCTGATCCTCCACCAGTTCAGTTCATACCATGTGCCTTCTCCAGGCAGAAGCAGCAACCACAGCAACAGCAAAGCCTTCTTCAGGCTCAGGGGCCCCACCACCACCACCATGGCTCTCACAGCAACTCTACAGCTGGTGGGTGTTGGTTGTGTTTGTTGGTGTTTGTGTTTGTGAGTGCTGCCTGTATGTTGTAAGCTCCAGTTGTGTGAGTGTTTGGTGTTTAGTTGTGGTCCTTGCAGTTGTGAGTGCAGTGTGGTTTAGTTAGTACTCCAATTAGTTAAGTGTGTGTCAGTGTGTGTGAGTGTGTAGTGGCATGTGCATGCATGTTTGCTTTGCTCTGCCTAGCTTGAGCAAAAACACAACATTACAACCTTCTTCATGTAAAAACCAAACACCAAACACCACCAAACCAAGAAACAAACCTCATGCACACCTCAACCCCCAAACCACAACCTTCTACAGGCTAACCCACCCACCAAAACACTCTTGGCAGCCTTTTCCACACCCTGCAAAAAAGAAGCCTTTTTAGGCTCAAGGTCGGCCTATAGCCTTCTTCAGGCTCAAGGTTGCCAGCCCAAAGGCCTTCTTCAGGCTCAAGGCTAGTCCACATTTTCTGCAGGCTTCAGCATAGCTTTTTTGAAATCAACCAAGGCTGCCTTCTCCAGGCTTGCTTCATTGCATGCCTTGTCCCACAGCTTGTCCATCACTTTGGTTTGGAGAGGTCCTCTAACCACCTCCACATTGACCAAGCAATAAACTTTTTTGCCTTCTTCAGGCATTGCCTGGATGTAGGCCTTCTGCATGGCCCTGGTCTGCTTCACCCACCCAAAGGAGACAGACTTGGCCCAGGATTTGCCAAGCTTTGCCTTTGCAATGCCTTCTGCAGGCTCTGTGTCTTTTGCTTTGCCTTCTGCAGGCTTGGCTGCAGGCTTCTTTAAGATGACTGGCTCTTGGGCTGCAGGTTTCTTCAAGATGTCTGGCTCTTTGGCTGCAGGCTTCTGTTTCACTTCCAGCCTTCTACAGGCTGCAATCAGCTCCTCAGGCCTCACCATGGATGAACTTTGGGTTCCTGCAACAGAACTTTCCACATCCCAAACTTCTGTGGGCTGAGGCTCCTCTTCTTCTGCAGGCTCTGCTATGATGAGCTTTGGTCTCTTGCCCTTGCCTTCTTCAGGCACCATTTTCTGCTTCAAGCTCTTGTTGGCTTGGCCTTCTTCAGACTTTTTTTCTTCATGGACACATCCACAATAGCCACTAGCCTCTGGATGTGGGGTGGTGTCTTCCCACCAGTCTTGAGGTTCCTTTTTCTTTTCTTCAGGTAGCTGACCACTTCATGGAATGCAGTGGCCAGCAACTTGCATTCAGAGATGGTCAAGGACCCTTTTGCTAGCTTCACAGCTTGCCTTAATTCAGGCTTGTTCAGGCTTGGCCTCCTCAAAAACATCCCTAGGAAGTGTTCATGCCTCTTGCAGGCATCTTCATGGTCGCTAGGCCATTCTGCAGGCTTCAATGCATCTGGAAAACTTTTCAAAACTGTTGCAAACTCTGCAATGCCTTCTTCAGGCTGTAAAGGCAGAGGTGCAGCCATGCTCCCTATAGCTTTGCTCAGCTGTATCTCCCTGTGTACTGTGTGCATGTGTTCATGTGCTGTTTTTTTTGGGGTCATGCTTGCATTTTGCCATGCTGCTCATGCTCTGTGTTGTGCTCATGCTCTGTGTTCTTGAACCAAAAAGCTGAAAGTCTGGAAGCCTGTTTTTCAAGCTTCCAGAAGCAGCTTCTGGAAGCCACAAAGTTGGCTTCCAGAAGCTGCTTCTGGAATACTCAACATCAACACAATTCAAACTTTCCAAGAAGCGCTTCTCAGGCAAGAAGCTTGATTTTTTGGCTGGCAGCCCTTTTTAGGAAGTATGGTTTTGAGGCTGGCAGCTTTGTTTCAGAGCTGTCAGCCAAAAAAACAAGCTTCCAGAATGCACTTCTTGAGGCAAGAAGCCAAAAAAATTGCTGCCAGCCTTGTTTCTTGACTTCTCGGAGCTTTAGGGAAGGAACTTGGAATACCTTTTTGCTATGGTCGAGAAATGGGACACTCCCGGTTCCAGGTTCAACCCCCTTTGTAGGAACTCTAGCTAGTATATATCTATACAATAAATTCTATATATACATATTATATATATATACATGTATAGTTTTCATGTTTAATTTGCACAATTATATTAATGATATGGTAATATAATGATATGCCTGGAACCCATTTGACCCCTCTATACGAAAAGGCGTTTTTTGGGTGGTTTTTTGACCTCCAAAATAGAGGTCACTATAGGTCACGAAAAGGTTCCAGGTGCAGATCTGGTTTTTTCTTTGGATACACTTTGAAGCGACCCCCCTTGGATTCGTTCCACCCTTGCCAAGCAGCCATTGGTGGTGGACGGCCGTTGGGCCAAGGCGGCGGCCAAGCCAGGGTGTTGAAGGGTGAACTGGAGAGAACGAGGTGCCTCCTATACACTATACATCCAAAGAAAAAAACACATATATATCATTATATATATATATATATTATATCATAATATAAATATGCATATTTGCATGAATAAGCACCAAAAAACCCGAGTTCGAACCGCAGTTTTGTTGATTTGAATTCTTCAGAAGAGCCGTTGACTGGATCGTCACCGGAGGCTTCAAAGTTTGCTTTGGTCGTAACATGAAGCAATTCATTTTGGAACCCTCATTGCAAACAGCGTGCGCTGCGCTGTGAGTCGGCAATTATCCCCTGTACCCTGGTTGAATGGCAAGTTGTCCACAAAACGCCAGTGCTTCGCCGTGACACGCACCCAACAGAATGATCACCGTATACGATCACTGGTGTTCCCTTGGACCGTGGGATAGAGAACCTTTCTCTACACCATTCCGTTGTAGGCTCAGCTTGCAGCCTCTGACAACCCTCCCCGCAGACTTCCGACAGTCCGCTCTGCAGGTGGATCTTTGCGATGCCACCACGACGTCTCCTTGACTGCCTCCAAAAAGAGCGCCGTGCTTTTTCCTACCTCGCTGCCCTCCACTTTCCCATTCTGGAGCGCTAGCTTTCGCCTCCCCCCTTGGCCTCAAGTATCACACTGGGTATACCACATGTTCACCTCGCACCCTGAGCGCCGCGCCCGATTCCCCGTGAGTCGGCTGCAGAGCCGCCGCAGGAGGTTGAGGGACGCTTCGAACGGCCGCGACTGGTGGTATGGGTTGGAATCCCTATCGAAAAACAACACAAAATCTTCAATCACCCTCTGAATTGGCTCGGTCCTACTTGCAAAAGCCTCATTTTCGTAAGGAGTGCCCAATGAGCTTTGGTGCTAAGGGGTGCCCAATGGGCACCCTTTGGATGTTCCTGGTAAGTATATATATATATATATACATTTTGCTAGTATTATTGCGTATACATAAAGATCTTTTCTTGAGTATCCTGTGTGGCTGTGTCACCAAGTGCTGCAATGAGTTTCTTTGAGCTACCCCATCGCTCACCGAGGCCAGCCCTCACATCAACCCCAAGAGGAACGAGTGCCAGGCAGCTGCGGGGGAGGGGGGGTCAGGCTTGAAACAAGACTGTGTGGGTGAAGCAGGGGTCCTCATGCTGAGTTCCGCACGGCTTCGTCGCCAACAAGTCTTCAAAGTGCCATCCAGGTGCCGAACATAAATGGTCCGACTCGGTCCAGCACTGACCATCCGGAAAGGATGGACGCAACGTTTGAAGACACAGAACATCATGGAACAGAATCAAAAGAACAAACAAGGTTACCACTATTGATGTTTAAACTTCTGGAACATCATCACGAATCCATGGGTTTGATCTGTTTGATCCGATGTGTTTGTTTTGGTGGGGTGATCTGATTTGCCGTTTGAGGTGCTTGCCACCTTCTCTATTTGGGTGTGTTTTTTTTGTTCAGCCCTTGGGTTGGCAGGACCTTTCTCCCCATCTCCAGAGGCTCATCTGGTTGACGCGATGTGTTTGGAAGACTGAAAGATGCCATGCATTCGGCCGATTTTTTTTTGTGGGGGGTAGGCTGCTAGTAGAGGTAGGTTGGCTAGCTAGGTAGCTAGTAGAAGATATAGCTAGCAATTACCTAAGCAAACTACTAGTAGGTGGACGCAGGATAGTTCACGCTTCTTCAACGAAGCTCCCCCCGCCGCCCTAAAGGCGGCGCGAGAAGTTTCCTTGAAGAAGCGCTCGCACGAATCATTTGGTTCCTAGGTTTTTAGGGAATCTTAAAATCCTTTCGGTTTCCCATGGTTTCCCTATGAAAAGTATCTTTGGGATGGCCGAGGGTGGATCCTTTTCGGGCCTGTAGGCGAGGGAGCCCCCCCAATCGTTTCGGACCCGCCTCCAACCGATGGGATTGTTTGAGTTCCTGTTGTCATTGGCATTTCCCACATCAGGAAGTCTCAACAGGTTGGCATGCATCACAGATCCTAACAGATAGACACAACGCAAAGATAGAGGTCGCAACATATTCATACAGAGCTGGTGATTTCTCCCACCAAGCCGGTGCAGGTTTTCGTATGAAAAATGCAAAGCTAGAAATAAAGATGTGTGTGATGCAGATATCGATGACATTCGATGACTTGTTGAGTGATGAGGGTCACGTGATTCTTCGTGGCGCACCGGTGCCTTTTTTCGTCACCGGCAGGACCGGAAGGGCGATGTCAGCAGTGACGAAGGTGTGGTTTCGAGCTGGGAGGTGTTTGGGAGTTTTGCCACAAGAGTTTTGTACCCCACAGGTCTGTTTCGAGGTTGGGTCCTTGCGGTGTCCAGCCTGAAGTCCGGCCATGTGTCCTTGCCAGGCGACTTTTCAAAGCCTCGTTCTCAAATGCAGGTGAGGCTCCGTACGGACGGCTAAGATGACTTGGGGAAGACTTGGGGAACCATTCCTAAGACAATACCAAACCATATTCTACAACGCAATGACTCACATACAATACGGTAGTGTATCATGGTTTATTTGGTGTGCTTGCCCTGATATGTTCATGTTCTTTGTTTGTGAGGACCAAATTGGTCACAGTCATGGCGTTAATTGAACACGAACATGTCCACTGCCGAACAAGCCTAATGTTCCTGAAGAGAAGGACC